GATAATACAGCAAATTGTAAAGAGTATCTGTAACAGGATACATGGAATGAGTAAAGGAAAAATTGGACAGGTAGGTCCCCTGAGGTGCAGGATTTCTCAGAACCCACCTCTTTTTGATAAGTCTCATGGACAACTCCCTGCTGCTGCCCAGCCCCAGATCTTATTTCCAATTGTATCCTAGACTGAGGGTCAAGTTGAAGGGTGAGAGGATCCCTGCAAGACTACTTCCTTAGCTTTGTTATTTGTTAGAAAATGAACTGTGAGTTTCAGTGAATGTCTCATATAGGGACTTCCTCCCTCTGGCCCATGTGCATCAATAATTTTGTTTCTTAAGCATTTCTTAAGATGAAAACCACCCAGCCTTCCTTTGCATAAGAAAGAGATTTTATTAGAACAAGAATATTCCATCAGTATCAATGTGATACTTTACACATGTCAGTTTTTCTACTTAGTCAACATTTAAGTCCATTATGAGTTACTTTAGAAAAGTTTTGAAAGCGAAATGAAGGCTGTTTTCCCATGGAGTCTCCCTGGGTCAGGATGCCTATTTATAGAGTGTGGTTTCACCAAAATGGGTGGTTTGTCTGTCTTCCATCTAGTCTGGCAACACTGAAGGGAGACGCCGCTATATCCATTTGATAGAAGTTCCAAGTCATGATTGCAAGAGCCTGCTGGCTATTTCTTTACTTGTAGGAAGGTGGGGAATCTCATCCCTGGCCAGATCCATAAACACTATTGCGCATAGGAAGTCTTAGCCAGCATTAGAAGGGGAAAGGAAAGCATGGGAAGAGTGAGAATGGAATAGAAGCAGCAAAGGTCACATATAAACTGTTGGTTTCTCTTTCTGTTATTTAGGAGATGTTACAGACAAGGAGACCTATCAAGAATTCAAGGAAGGTAGTCATAGATCAAGGTGACGGGGGGAATGCTGAAACACATGGTATATCTTCATATATGCAAGACATTTAGGTTCTCCCTGATCAACGGTAGGTCAGAAGGATCCAAGTCAGTTATCTGGACGCAGGGAAGTGAATTGCAAGTGTTTCCTTATTTGTGTGGGTGATCACAGAATAGGCAAGCTCTAGGTTTCTCTAGGTTTATGACTAGAAACATAAGACTATTAATCTTTAGGAAAAAAGTTAAAAATCTCACCAGAACCCATTTAATGCATCAGTCACTAATCCCTGAGTATGTGAGGGAGGGAGGCAGAGAGGGACTGTAATCATATATACCTACCAAAAAATTAGGGGAATATAGGTGGTACATGTGGACAATAATCAGGTTTCTGAAAACTCTAAAAATTAAACCACAAAATCAGATCATAGTAAATAAAAGGGGGGCACCTGGGTGACTCAGTCAGTTAAGTGTCCAACTCTTGATTTTGGCTCAGGTCATGATCTCATGGTTTGTGGGATGGAGACCCAAATCAGGCTCTGGACTGCCAGCATGGAACCTACTTGGGTCTCTCCCTCTCTCTCTCTCTCTCTCTCAAAAATAAACAAATAAACATTTAAAAATAATAATAAAATTCTTTTAAAAATAAATGAACAAATAAGCATTAAATAAATAAATAAATAACCGAGGTATTTAGAGACACAATTTTTCTTACACCAAAGAAGGAAGATCTGTCTATTAATCAATCTATGGACATGTTGATTAGAAGGGAAAATGGTCACCTAGAAGAGAGGAAGATGAATTCTTGGGGAGAGAAAGTGTCAGTGCCCTGGCCCAGCACTTCAGCCTGTCTGGACCCTGTTGTTGGACACGCCAAGTGCTGACACACATTGCCCACTTTCTCTCCAAATAGACTTTCGCTTATAACTTGTTTTTCCATGTGGTTTCCTCAGCAGTACAGGATTGTGCTGCTCGCACAAGCACAAGCTTGGCAATTTAGTTCTTCCAAAACTAAAAATGGCATCTGGCTTATGCAGTTAGCTATTCTGAGCTTGGTAACTTCAGTCCATCTGGAAGAGGTCTTCAGAGGTTGTGAAGATTAGCAGCACACCCTGAATTCTGGTAATTTTACTAAAGTGAATTCACCTCCATCCAGCTAGCTGCCCACCTCCCCAGGACAGCTCTACCTTGTCTTGCTTCGAAGAGCGATGGAATGCCTGATTCTTTCACTGCCAGAAATATTATTTAATGTATGTCTATTTATCTGCCCCATAATAAATGCATTGATTTAGGAAGTTTCATTTAACATATGGCTTACTATAAACCCCAGGTTATTTTTGCTTCATTCAAGTCTCATGACCAAACCCCATCTTATGCACTGTATTTAACAATTATTAATGATTAATGATTATTAATTATAATTATTAATTATTAATATTAATTATTATAATTAATATTATAATCATTATATAATATATATAATTAATTATATTAATTATAATTATATATAATTATATATTATAAATATATAATAGATAAATATAATATAT